AACAACATGTGAAATCAGTAAGAGATTAAATTTGTCGAATTGAACCATTTATGATTACTTAAAAAGAAATTGGTTTCGTTTCAAAGCTCGATATATGGGTTCCACATGTTCTTAAAGAGAGATGCTCTCTTTGGTGGGATTTTAAGGAAATTTTTTTTTTGAGCTTTTACCAGACAATTTAACAATTGATTCAAAAGTGTATTGCCATTGAGTAAACAAATTGAATATCATCATCAAACATAAAAGGCCAGAAATGATCAACAAAAAGGCTGTAGTGTTTTACCATGATAATGCCAAATTTCACACAAGTTTGGTAACTTGTCAGAAACTGTTACAGCTTAGATGGGATGTGCTGTCACACCAACCATATTTGCCAGATCAGGCACCCTCAGATTATTACTTGTTCTGGTCTATACAAAATTTTTAATACTTTTTACTTGAAATGAAAATGTCAAAAATCACTTGGATCAGTTTTTTGTAAGCAAAGATCAAAATTTTTATGAATGTAGAATCATGCTACTACCAGAAACGATGGCAGCAGATATTTGACCAAAACGGTCGATATATAATTCAATAAAATATTTATTTATTATAAAAATATTGTTTTTTTTTTTTCCATGGAAGAAAAACAAAATTACTTTCCAAACAATCCAATATATTACATATGCTGTCTATTAACAGCCTTCTTTTTATTTTGAAAGGCTTACGACATTTTCTGGCATTAAAAGTAAGATATCAATAATAGGATCGAAATTAGCTGAACTTATCGTGATAGATATTAATAATTAACTAAACAAAGCAGGTATATATTATTATTTTAGATATGTTGATGACTGCTTTTTGATTTACAATTGTGAAAAATTAGACATAATGTAATAAATGCAATGATACAGCATTTATACTTATAAGTCAGTGTTATACTACCTGTAATGGCTGTCAGTTAAATTCTGTCATAAGTTTTCATTGATGGAAGTTATACATTCCAGCAATAACAATCACATTTACTTAATTACTTTCCCTTCTTAAAAATAATCTGTTACAATGTATTTAGCATTAAAACAAAACAAAGTAAAGATTATAATAAATAATCAAGATAAACATTTTATTTAAATAAGAATACATGAAATAGCATGATAATACACTTATTGACAAAAAGTAATGCAGTCCAATAGAACTGTCTGATTACTGTAAAACTTGACATACAGGTGTCTCAGACAGGTAAGTAAATGATCATTTATGATCTGATAGCATATCAAGTAATGCTACCAGAGTGCTTTAAAATTGCCATTCCAATATCATAAATGGTTTGTAGAGGCTCATGGTACACTGAATATTCTGAACACAGTGCGTATTCAGAACATTCAATGTACCTGTTGTTTGATCTTTGAACATCAATTACTCATGTATAAAGCAGCCAAAGCTTATGAAGTATGGCAGGATGGTCAAAGCAATTTAACACTGTATCTAGGGTATATTGCACCTGCATGCAAGTTCTATTTTTTGCATTCCTTAAGTTAGTACAAATTTATCATAAATTCTTATTTTTTTGATTATTATCAAAAATTCTTTTAATTGCATTTGGATGGTATGAACATGTCTAGCAATACTGTTATAAACTTGTCCATACAAGATTATTTATCACCAGATGAGAAACTCACTACCTTCTCACACACTTAATCGTGAAATAATATAAATCCATATAAATACCAGCAATTAGTTTATTGTGACATCATCACAATGCTGGGCTGCAATTTTTATTCATAATTTTTAACTTATTTAATTTAAAATATATGATCTCCACCTCAGATTAGCAGTGTCTTGCCTTTGTACATCATACTTTTCCTTTAACAATAAAGTTGTGCCAATCATCTAACTCCTTTCAGGGGAAAATTTTTAAATTGAAATAACATGACTTCTGGTTTGCATCAGAAGTTTGTATAAGTTAATTGGGACCTTGGGGCCTCCTGCCAACAAGGTTTCCATATCTGGTCTAGTCTTTCATCTATCTAACACCATTCTTGAGATTAAGAAAAGATGGACAACAGTGGGAATTTATAGGTCATCAATTTTTTCAAATTGCAACCCAATAAAATGCAAGCATTAACACTTGGACTGTTGAAGCTTGCAATTTTGCTTTTTTAACAAAATGTTTTGTTCTATTTTTCTCATTTCATAATTCTTTTCACCCTTTGATGATGGCACCCACACATGGTTTACATCCAGCATGTCTGGATGTGGCCGCCCTGAGTCTACCTCCTGGAAAATCTAGATTTGTAAAATGTTATGTATTTTTAATATTTTTTTTCTAGCTGGAATGCAATTTGAAAAATTGTAGACCTATAAAATCCTACTTTCGCATGTCTTTCCTTAATCTTGAGAACTGAGTTAGTTAGATGAAAGACGAGACTAGATATGAAACCTTAAGGACAGGAGATCCCTATTATCTACAGTCCCTGGCCAAATTATTAGACGCACTACAGATTTTTCATAATTACATGTTTTATACCTGGTCTGGTGTAGGTCTATCTTATAAATCATAATTTTGATAAATTTTTAATGTTATTGCACATCTATTTTTGTTATATTTCATTACAATATTAATTTATTGGTAGGTATTAGAGCTTAGACACTAAAGTGTAGTGTACAAGTACGAATGTTTTTCAGTCGCATTCTCAATTACTACTGGTGTGGATGTGTTTCTGTTCACCTCTTATATTTATTTCATGGTATACAATTATGCAAATGTTTGTTTTCTTTGATAGTAGTATTTTTACCAACCAGATATGATCAATTGTTATCTTTTGACATGGGCAAAAAGGGGGACCTTTCACCACGTAAAAAAGCTGAAGTCAAAGCCCTCATTAATACAAAAATGTATTCCAACCGTGAAATTTCATGAAGTTTGAAGGTGTCTGAAGCTAGCGTACTACTTATAAAAAAACAAGTTGAATCAGATCAAGATCCGAGTCCAAAAAGAAAAAATAAATGCGGCAGAAAGCCAATTTTCACTCCAAGGTCAGAAAGATGTCTTAAGAAAATTTGCTTAGAAAACAGATTTGCTACCACTAAATCAATAAAATCTCAATTGGAAGATGCAAACGTGAATGCTTCTGAGCGCATGTTCACAGAAAATTGAAAGATCTGGATTTTAAGGCTTACCGACCAACAAGAAAACCCAAGTTAACAGTTGCAATGAAAGCAAAGCATTTGGAGTGGGCCAAACAGTGGCATGATAAGGATGTGGACTTCTAGATATCAGTAATTTAACATTATACAGATTATTTACAATAAAATAGACAAATTAACAGTAGGTACTTGATTCATAAGTTTTTTTTTTTTTTTTTGTTTTCTCAGGTCTGAATTACTGATGAAAGCACATTTGAAATTTTAGCCAACAAAGCTCATTTTGTCCATCGTCGTAGAGGCGAAAAATTTTATTCTGACTGCGTCATTCAGACTGTTAAGCACCCCATGAAAGCAACGATTTGGTCCGTCATTAGTGGCAAGGGCACTGGCCACCTGTATGTAGTAAAAGGCACCATGAGGCAAGACCAATATAAAGAAGTCTTGCAAAATCAGTTGCTGCCACAGGTTTTTATGCAAGATGGAGCTCCCTGCCACACAGCCAGGTCTGTGAAAACATATCTACAAGAGCAAAATATCTCTCTGTTGGATTGGCCAGGTAATAGTCCCGACATGAACCCCATAGAAAATGTGTGGGAGCTCATGAAGAGGGAAGTGGCCAAAAAGGTCATCACAACCAAAATGCAGCTTTTGGAAAAATCATCCATGTGTGGAATCATCATCCACAAATGCAGGAGACAGTCCAGTCTTGCATCCACAGCATGCTGTGCCGGATTGAGGCTCTCATAGTTGCAAAAGGTGGTTCAACAAAATACTAAAATTTAAATGGCAATTTTGTATTTTTTTACTATGTTAATAAAAACAAAAATTTTCAATAAATATAACATTTTATTTGTGTTAGCACCTATGTAATAAAGTAAACTGTACATTACAGGTTAAATTCATTGGTAATAAATATTCAAAGACCAAATTGTACTAGCTGATAATTAAGATTTGCATAAAAACTATAGTACGTCTAATAATTTGGCCAGGGACTGTATATATGAACTTCCAATGCAAACTGGAAGTCATGTTATTTCAATTCAAACATTTTCTCCCAAAAGGTGTTAGATGACCAGCACAACTCTATTGTTAAAGGAAAAGTATGATGTACAGGGGCCAACTACTAATTTGAGGTGGAGAGAATATATTTTAAATTAAATTAATTAAAAATTGCAGCCCAGCATTGTGACAATGTCACATTAAATAATTGCCTGTTTTTATTGAGTTGTATTTTTATATCAGTTAATTTGTGGTGTTATATCCTGTGTCACCATAAGTTACTTTATTTTTCTAAAATTAAATAAATAAATAAATAAATAAATTTTGATTCAATAATATCACCTACATAACATCATTCATTTGTAAATCACCCATATATTGTCTATTTTTTCTTATGCTTTAATATTTTATTTAGAAAAATTTTTATTGATGCAAATCATAAAACCAAAATGAAAATTCTCAATCAAAAATTTAAATGATCATGTATTTATCCTTTCCATTTTTCTAAAAATATTTTTTGACAGATGGATACTTAGTAAATTTATTAATTAGTCATGAAAATACATAAAACTAGGCACAATGATGTAATTTAAAAAATTATTAATTGATAATAATTAATGTTACCAAGCAATGGCATTTCTTAAAAATTTGTCAAATAGTTAATAATAGAAATTAGACTTTTCAATGAGGCTTTTAGTTCTATGTGTGATATATAATTAATCTTGACAATAACACTTGAAAATTCATTTGTTAAGAAAGAAAACAAAAGTTTTGGTTAATAAGTAAAAAATAAAATAAAATTTTTAACATGTTTGACAATTAAAACAAATTTTTTAATTCTTAAAAATATTGACAAATTAGATATTTTTCTGAAATATAAATAATTTTAATAAAACCTTTGTACATGAATATGTTATATTCTCTTTATCAAAATACAAAAGCATCTTTCTTGAATTAATTCTTCAAAGAGCCATTTGTTTTCTTGATAATATTATAAATATCTAAAGATTCACCTAGAATAAAAAATTGCAAAAAATTATTATTATTTTTTAATTTCTCTGATAAGTAATTTCAAAATATTCTCTATCTCTAAAATAAACAATTATTAATAAACAATATTCAATACAGAATAAAAAGTAATTATATTATTTGTTACACTTAAATTTATTTCTTCAGTTCAAGTTTTAAATTATATAATCAGAAATTAAACACATTGTTTATTTGTTTTTTCCACAAGTGAACAACCTTTTATTACATTAACTATTCTATACAAAATGAATTGAAAAATATATTTTTTTAATAGTTGCTAACTACTGATATTAATAGAATATTTTTGGGCATAATTTATTATTTAAAAATTTTACATAATAAATTACTTGCAGCTAACTTGTAAAAATAGTTTATACTTAATTAAAACAATATTGCTGCTAATGTACAGTATTTTCCATAAACAATAAACAAAACTTGTAGAATACTGTGGTACCTCAGGTTACGAACGCCCCAGCATATGAAATTTTCAGGATACGACATGAAATTCAAACATATTTTTGCTCCACGATACAAACAAAAACTCACCATACGACGTTACATTAGTTCGCATTTTTCATTTGTTTTTCTTACTACAGTTATTTTTTTTAATGTATTACTTGGCTTTAATTTGAGTATGTTTTTCGCGTTGGAACGAATTATTTGGTTTTACATGTAATCGTATGGGAAAAGATGATCCACCTTACGACATTTTCATGATACGATCTCAGTTTCGGAACGGATTAATTTCGTATTCTGAGGTACCACTGTACTAATAATCAATCCACTGTAATTTTGTACAGATAACCCAGGATGGTATATACCCTGAAGAACATTGCTAGAACAAAAATAAAACCGCTACACAAGCTACTTTGCTATATATCTTGCATCTCTACAGCAACCACTGAAAGCATAATACTTACTGATATGCAGTTTACAAGGTACTATCTCAAATATCAAAACATTGTTTTTCTATTTCATATCTTTATAGAAGTAATTATAAAATAGGCAAAATGAAAAAACAGAATATCGTGATGAAATGAAACCTCCCAAAGTTTATTGAAGATACAAATGCCTATTGCTTTAATTGTTTTATTTAGAGATGGATGATTCTTTTTGTCCAATTCAAATATTAACCAGATTTTGAATATTTGAATAACTTAAATACTTAGTGAACTTAGTGAAGGGAGAGGGGCAGAACCGATCTTGCAATCGGGTGTCCCTCCAAACAAAATAAAATTAGACAAGAGGTGCCCAGCTACTCCAGCACAGTCTCAATTGGTGAGACACCTGTCTTAACCAGACAGCCCTGGCTACATGTTGCACAACAAAACATCTGTAGACACAGCACAGTCACACCCACACAACATGCACTAAGTAATCCACAGGAGCACGATGTATCAATGGCTCTCAATGTCGTCTTCCACAGTTGTAATCCTACTTTGGTGAGGAGGACAACATGGCCACCACCAGCGTGGAGAAGACAGGCACAAACATCCAAAGCACCGAACACGGCTAAGCCTAAAGTTAGGGTTAGCAGTGCCAACTCCAACCAACAAGCTAAGCCTAAAAGTAGGCCAAGCAAAACAAGCAACTAGCCAGGCCTAAGCCAACCCTAATCTCCTATACCTAAGTACGGGAGAAACTCTGCTAGGCCTAAAAGTAGGGTTAAACTCTCAGCACGCACCCATCCACTTCTGCGTGTAAGCTCCATATAATCTCAATGTAACTATGTTATCTAAGTTGTAATTAATTGTATTATCTAAGTTGTTGTATTATGTTATCTAAGTATTGCCAATGTCTTACCGACGACCCCTCTCACCTCCTCCACTCGACCTGACAAAAGAATCCTGACTGTTCGGGATAAAAAACCATAGACAAGCCATCCACTGACACGTGGGCAGTTTTCAGAAAACTTGCTGACAAAAAGAGGTACAACTTTGTCCTACCCACAAATATAATTATGTATATACATATATATATTACTTATCTTTTCAGCTGTAAAAATCTCATCTTAATTGAATTCTAAATAGCAAACATATTGGACAGGATACTTTAAATGGAACATAAAAATTATAACAAAACATAAATGTTGATTAATTATTAATTCATCAAAAACAATGTAGACTGTTGTAATGAAAAAGAAAAATGGATGAAGGTGGTTTAGGTGGCGAGAAGTTGAATGTAGAGTTACAAAGGTGATTTGCTAGCCACTTCAAGGGATGGAAATGTATTCAATATTCTTGCATTTATAACATCATTTGTGATCTAAGTGAGTAATAAAAATTGATATAGTGATTTGTCTGTAGTTATCAAGGTGAAATTTTTCAAACATTTTTGCTTTTTTCAATAAATGATTTATTAAAAAATTACTTTAGCAACCACAAAGCTATTAAGATCATAAATGATGTCATATATATGAGCATACTGAATGTCACTTTAAATATCAACACTTTAAAGTGGCTGGCATATCTACCTCATAACATGACCTTTGAATTTTCACCACACAAATGCCATCGTTATAACCATTTTAAGTTTCATTTCATTACTACTGTACTACGGTTCTTACTATTGAACGAATAACTCAGGAAAAGCTTATGGTTTCTTGGTACCTTAAGCTTAATTTGAACAATAGTGAAATTGCAACTGATGTTTTCAACATGAAAATGTGAACATTGGATGTTCAGCGCTGCTTTCCTGTAAGCCTAGAAGTTTGACAATTGCATTTGGAATGTCAGTGAAATCATGCTCAACATTCCAAACACCATTGTCAAACTTTTAATCTTACAGGAAGGCTGCGCTGAACGTCTTACATACATGTTTTTGCATTGAAAACTTCAGCTGCAACCTCACTAATAACAGAAGTTTAATAACATTAATATGTATGACAATAAGTAGTAATTGACAACTTAACCAGATTTGTCTTCTCTAATGGATAAAGAGTATTGTTCAGCATTTTACAACCTGCCCTCTTCTCTTATTCCTATTTGAACCAATTCTTTGTTTTCATTTTAAAATATTTTGTACATAATTAATTGTTTCAGAATATTAAATGCAGGACATTGTGTTTTTGTAAGGTTGGTTATGGACGAGCTAGCATCCACTATTTAGAGGTAAATATAATAGATGTCCTGTTTAAAGAGGATCTGAGGTTTGTAAAAATGTCCATTAACTAGAGGTATATGCTATTTGGGAGTGTTCATTAATGGCGGTTTCACTGTATCTGAAGTTTTGTTTGACTCAAGGAGTAGAAAAACATATTATATAGGCTGTTCACTGGGATCAGCAATCTAGTAAAGAGGGATTTGAAATTATAGGTTTTACTGTATTTGTCATTAAATGGTAATTAATTAAAATATGTAATTGTTATCCAAATCAAATCCTCTGTTTTAGCATGAAAATAATAGAAATATGTATACAATAGAACACTCATGATTCAATATTTGTAGGTGCAAACATTGCTCCTGACAAGAGATTAAGCGATATGTAATTACAGTAGAGTCCCGTACAATGCACAAATAAAGCAAGCAACACCCTCAAATTTTGTTGATCAGAGGTATACTTTTTTTTTCAACTTATCAAGGTTAAAACTGTCATAACTCATATGAAAATGCAGGTTTTGATAACGCAATTTCCTATAAAGCATAACAAATCTCTGCATTGTATGGGACTCTACTATTTTGAATCACCCATTTAAGAATTGTTTAATTTCTTGACAAGAGTGATGTCTATATCAACAAATATTAAATTGTGAATGTTGTTTTTATACTATGTACACATTACAACAGAGGAATTAATTCAGGTAATAATTACTTATGTTTGTAAATGTATGTTATTTTAATTAACTGCCATTTAAAGATAAATAGTTCCAATTATTACCCTTATCTCATTTCAAACATATCAGCTATTCAAAATAATTTTTGTCTCTGTCATCAAACCTTACATTATTAATTGTTCTTTATAGTATTATTAGACATTTGACATTTAATTGTTGTACTGTACCATTAGTAAATGTGACCAATTGTTTAGACTTGAAAATAATTTTAATGCACTAGTTTTGACTAATAATCACGAGTCAGACAGATTGTATTTAGATTGTAAATAAAATTTTAAAGTTATATTTTTCAATAAAATAAAATTTTAATTGTGAAATAAAACTATAAGTTTAAAGCATATTCATACCTGGTGGTATTCCATATCCTCTTTCTAATCCATGAGGATTTGATGGTGTTTTGCAATCCATATCCACTTCTTTTCTAATAACTGTATCAATGTCCACAGAACTGAAGAAGGCAATTGACTAATAAAATTTAAATCATTATTCAAAATATAACATTTTTGTTTTTACTTTTAACCAAAAATATATTTATTTGGATATTGATTACTTGATATTGATTTTGGATATTTATTTGGATATAGTAAGGATACTGATTATCATTATCAACATTAGTGAAATATTATTTTAGGAATTTAAAAAAACTTATATGCAGATTTAAATCATGCATAATTCTATATTAGTTTAAATTAATCAAGTTTTTGTAATAAATGCATTTTAACAATAGAATCTTCACACCCAATTGAATTTACAATTTACTGCTAGTATAAAAATGCATAATTTAAAGTTGAGCTGTAATAATTTTCTTTTTTAAATATTGTTATAATAGTAATAGTTCTTTTGTGTACTTTATTTAAAATAGTTCATTTTTTAATTTTAATAGTCCTATGATTCACTTATGTAATAGATACTTTGTAAAAATATGATTCAAATGTTTCTAACTGTTGAAAAATTGGAAAAAGCTTTAAGCACTAGATTGAATATCATTCAGAGGAAACTCCTCCTTTCTGTGGTTCTACTATCCACGAATATGCAAAGCATCTTTTCAATCATTTTAGTACAAGCATTAGTCAAGATCAATTATGTTTAAACTCATTTGATACTTTTAAAGAATAATTTCAAAAATTTGTTTTTAAAAATGCTCTTTATAATTTAAAAACTGTAAATAAGAAGTTTTAAACTTCGTATTTACAGTTTTTCACAATACATTAGTCAAAATAACTGCACATTTTTACTTTCCTGGTTGTTATATATAAGAGAAGGAAAGTATAGCTATCAGTCAAAAAATGATCTCTCCAAAATTTTTACATTTTAGAAAATTACAAGAAAATTCTGGATGGTTATATCAAAAATTAAATGTCTGGAAGTGAAGAATTACTTGTTGTCTGGGTAGCGTAACTGGTAATGCATCCACATAGTAAGTGGAAGTTGTGAGTTTGAGCCCCTCTCTCCAGATAGATTCTTTTCTTACATAATATTCCAAATTATTTAACAAATATTAATTTATTATAATTATTAAATTAAATAAGGGATGGTGCCTAATGCTTACCTCTAATACCAAATTACTTAAAATTTAATTATTAATAGTAGCAGAAAAAAGCCTGAAACATTATAGAAATCATTTTGCTCTGAGTATACAAAAAATATATAAATATATAAGAATTGCAGAAAACTTTCTTATGACTGTATGATACTGTTTTTGCTACTTTATCTGAAATAAAAATTCTCTAATTAATTAACACATAAAATATGTATTCTGGGAATATATAAATCCTGTAAGTCAGATCAAAGTAGGTCAAATAAAATTGAACATACATTCAAATTTTGAAAAAAAAAAAAAACAGTTGGAATAATTCAATGTTATAGTTAACAAAAATTTGCAATAAATAATGAAAGCATTATTTGACAAATAAAGAAAAGTATTATATTCATTTAAAATGAATATAGAAAACATGAAAAACAAGAAATGATCAAAATGACCATACTGTGAACCATTTGGACCATTTGAACCATTTGAACCATTGACCCCCTTTATCTCCCTACCCCTCAACCTTTAACCATCAAAATTTAATAGCATCAATACCACTGATACACAAACCTCCCTGCAAACTTTCAGAAAATTTCAGAAAATTTTGAGGATAGGGACAGGTTTTGTAAAAAATTGTAAATGCTAATAATGAGTAAAATCATCATTTGGTCAGACCCTACTACAGATATAACATGACCCCCTTTATCTCCCTACCCCTCAACCTTTAACCATCAAAATTTAATAGCATCAATACCACTGATACACAAACCTCCCTGCAAACTTTCAGAAAATTTCAACAAAAACCATGGGAGTTATTAAGTTTCAAAGAGGGTGAACAAAATTGTGCTCCCCACACACAAATACATCCATATATACAGAAAAACCCCCCAAATTTTTTGCCTTTCTTGACATTTCAAGGTACAAGTCCAAAAATGTAAAAACTTAGGGATAAATTTTTGACCAATTGCATACTTTCTCTCTGTTATATATAACAGCTAGGAAAGTAAAAGTTATAATGTATATGTTATGGACTAAGTGATTAATACGAGTGTTATGAACAATGACAAACAAAATCAGGCATTGTAATAAATTCCAGGTGTTTAACATAATTTATTAAATTGACTGGTTATTATGAATACTGATATCACCTAGTCGGGCAAAGTGATGATAATACGTTGAGGAGTGATCATCCAACATACACTAGCCAATCAGCATTTGCATTTGAGTTGCGCATGTGTATTTCGTTTAGTATCAGATTTTAAATTTATGTGACCAGTAGTTAATCTTGTGTGACATTTTAATTTTACTTTTGTCTCTTAAAATAGTGTTTTCTTCTTTGAAAAAAGTAATGATCATGGAGCAATCATTAAGTGATATGAATAATCATTTCAACAACCGATTAAACAAGTTAATATCAGAAAAAGGTTAGAACAGTCAAATTTTTACAAAATCAGCATATTTGTCAATGTTACAAAAAGTGAAAGAGTCAAAAAAAAAAAAAAAAAGTTACTTTTAAGTTACCAGGAGAATATCAGTGTTTACGTAGATTTGATGATGTATCTATTATAAAAGAGAATAATTTTATTAAGTATTATGTTCACTCTGAAGAAATATTTCAGATATTGAATGATGCCCATATTGCTATTGGCCATGGCGATATAAACCATATGGAAAAAGAATTAAGTATGAAATATAAAAATATTACAAAGGAGATGATCATAATTTATTTGAACTTGTGTGAAATCCGTCAGAAAAAGCAGAATATTCCTAAGAAAGGCTTGGTAGTTAAACCAATTTTATGTAATGAAATGAACTCAGGTCAATCTTATTGACATGTAGTCACAAGCCAAAAAGCAATATAAATTTATAATCGTGTATCAAGACCATCTAACTAAATTCGATAAATTACGACCATTAAAAACCAAAAAGGCTGAAGATGTAGCATATGTTCTTTTAGACATTTTTACAATTTTCGGTGCACTGAGTATTCTATAAAGCGATAACAGCAGAGAATTTGCCAATAACATCATCAAAGAAATGTGTAGTATGTGGCACGAGTTAAAAATGGTGCATGGAAAGCCCAGACACTCACAAAGTCAGGGTTCAGAAGAAAGATGTAATCAAGACAGAAAATATGCTTAGTCCTTAAGTGAAGACTAACAAATGATTGGAAGGATTATGTTTTGTACAACTGATGAAAAATCGAGGACATCATACTGGTATAAACTGTGGTCCCTATGAGGCCATGTAGGAACAGAACTGCAGCATAAACCGAGGGCTACCTGTACTAATAAAAAATGATTAAAATGTAATTTAATACTGACATATTACTGATAAGACTTACTTTGGATTTATGATTGTTTATTTTATGAAAAAAATATCTAAATTTTTTCATAAAGCAAACCATCTAAAATTTTTGTAATATTTATTAGTTATATTAATTACTTTAATAAATAACATTGTTATGTATAACAAGCAAAGTTAATATATGTTAATATATGGCTTTACTTTACTTACAGGAAACTTCTGGAATTTCATTTTTGGTATAAATTACATAAAAAATTAAATGTTTTTTACTTTATTCGAGCAATTAACAATTTCATGACATTTGGAATTACATAATTTTTTTTTGTAGCATTTGCATCTATTAGATTTACAACCAATTTTGCAGCAGCAACAACTATAGCCTTGGCGTCCAGAAATTCAGAAATTGATGACATTCTTGCACATTCTCTAAGTGAAATTTCTGCACCTGGTATATCTCCAATAGATTTCACTGACTTCTGATTGGTGGATGGTACCATTTTATGGCCGTATTCATGTCGAAAGTTGAACACTGCTCAACTCACTTTTATGCTGGTTTTATGACCTGCTCAGGTGTAAAATATCATGGTGACATGATTAAAAACTTTCATGGCGAGGGTTTTTACACCTGTTTTTATGCTAGTGGAGTCTTGGCCTAACAGAGTGAATTTGCTGAAATGGACCATCCATTATTATAATTCATTATTATAAATTATAAAACTTTGCTGGCACAAATCCTCTGGAAATCCTGCTAGCAAAGTTTTTACAGTGACGGTGCTGCCCCAAGTTTTGAAAGTAAATACTTCTTCGCATGTGAATTGGTGAAAACAGAAGACGGTTGTATACATGATATATTGATATAAAGACAATGATTATATATAAATAACAACTCAAAGCCTGAATAGTATATAATAAATTACCAAATGATCGCCTAAATATCGGGCTGTAATTAATTGATTGGAATAAATTACTTTATTTCAATCATTTAATTATAGCCCGATATTTAGGCGATCATTTGGTAATTTATTAGACAATGATTATATTCTATGAGTTTTTTCTGTACCATAATTACAAATGTAGTAAAAATAATATCTTTACTTTCATATATTAACTTTTATTATTGTATAATTAAGATAATATACAGCACTTATAAGCTTAGCTTTCTTTATTATATACTCCTCTAAATTGAAGGATTTTCCTTTGGCTGTCCATATCACGTGTTTTAGGCATCCATTATTATAACTTATAAAAATTTTATGGAAAGGTGAAATTGAAATGCAAATGTTGTAGAATAAAGATATGTAGATGTTGAATTTTATCACCTTCCTTTCTCCACTTATTAAATATTTGTTAAAAATTTTTTATACAAATAAATATTAACGTAAGTTAAAAATTAAAAATACTAACCATAAAAGTATTTGGGTAAATGCCAGGGCTCCTTTCAGAGTTCAGAGTAGGGTACCCCCTATGAGCATCTCTGCCCCCATAAAATGACTTGGCTTTTAATTTTGCCGAAGTCAGGAGTTGGAGTTGGCCTACTAAAATTATCAGGAGTCAGAGTCGAGTATTTTTTTACCGACTCTGCAGCTCTGAACAAAACACTCAAACCAAAACAATGGTTCTGCAGACTGCCTTTTATGTATCCTTAGCTCTGATTTTCTAGAACCGTCACCTTCATAAAGAAAATTCTTGTCTCCTCAAAGTCATCATGATGTAGAGTTGAACAGCTGAATTACTTCTGACACATTGTGTCAACTCCAAAGGATCTGCCACACTACCTGTAGTGCTTATTTCTGACAAAAGCATGAACAGAAACTAAATATAAACTCAATACAAACTAGGGCTTAGTTTGAACCTTCAAAATTCCTTAGAGGCTTAATATTTTTCTTATTTTTGAGCAAAAGAGCATAAATAAGTAAAAATTGTTCAATAAAATGTATGTTAAAAGAAAAATGGCAGCTCCATTTCTTTCCACTTAACAAGGTAACATAATTTCAGAAATGTACATGTTATGTAGATAGTAGAAGATCCATTCATACCAATTTTTTGGCATTTGGAGAGAATGGCATTATTTCAAAGGCACTAAAATGGAGCCAACTATAAATGCACACATATACAAAGCATGTACATAAACAAATAAACACACAAAGCAATACCTAATAGTAGATAAAAATATGCTAAATTTTAATTTACTTAAAATATTTTCTTCACAATAAATTTTATATTTTATTTTAATGTGTACCACTATATTCATTTATTTTATAATATCAATTATTTTAATACATAACAATGTTATTTATTAAAGTAATTAATATAACTAATAAATATTATAAAAATTTTAGATGGTTTACTTTATGAAAAAATTTAGATATTTTTTCATAAAGTAAACAATCATAAATCCAAAGCAAGTCTTATCAGTAAGATGTCAATATTAAATTACATTTTAATCATTTTTTATTAGTACAGGTAGCCCTCGGTTTATGCTGCAGTTCTGTTCCTACAAAAGCTAGCGCAAATCGAATTGACATAAAATGAACCCATATTTACAGTGAGGTGTAGAGGTTAGGTTCTACATAAGTGAAAAATAAGCAAATAATTTTATTTATTAATACAATATAATGCAAAATACATATATTATAAATTTAATTTTAAAAATCTATTTTATAATAAAATAAAGTGAAATGTTTTTATTAAAAAATCTTACGAAAAACAAATGATATTTCAAAGTTTCAGATCTCTTACATTTTTCAGAAAAAAGTATCCATCTTTAATTGTTTAGATTTAATTTCATTACGAATTTCAGAATATGGTCAAATGGATGCAGTGATGCTCCTTTCTACATTTGCACTTCTTTTATCTGACATAATAACCCTCCAGTAAAGTTAAAATTTATAAACAGTTCCACAATTGGCCAATAACACAATGAAAAGTTCCAATTCTTATCTCCTGTACTTGTCCATTGAGAAGACACTTTACGATGACTGATGAACAATTGGCTAGCAGTAATATTTTCTTTGCTATGGTAAAACTCAGTAAGCAAGACGGATCTAAACTTGATTTTCCTGCTTCCACATCAACCTTATATAGTTGTTGACAGCCATCGGCTGACTAATCAGCAGCTATGCTAGACATGGCTCTATACCAAGTCTGCCACATTGCATGATGTTTTCGCCAATGGTCTCTTCCTTGAGACACCTGTCGCCAATTCAAATCTAACCAATTGTGTTCCTCAATGAACTCTCCTCGGCAGTGTTTGTTACCAGTTCAAATTGACCAATCATGTTCATTACACGATATCACCACGACATCACCTTTATTCTTGTATACATGGGTATGTAAACATTTACTATTTTAATATTATTAAACAGAAAAAATAAATATAGTCAATAAAAATCTTTGTTTTAATGAATGTACAATGTTGCGGCTCAGTAAATATGTCAACACTGAAATGAAAATCAGTCTAACATAGGGAAAATTGGGGAATTACACAGTGAAACGGTGAATTGCACAGCACCGTTATTGTGAATTGGTGTAAACTGAAGGCTACATGTATATAAATACAGTTTTCATTAGTTTTAAATTTTTTAGCAATTCAAAATAAAAAAGCTTATAAAAATGCTCAAAAGTTTAAGAAGTCTTGTAGATTTATTCAGATTTAAACATTTCTCAAGACATTATATATTTCATCATCAGATCTACAAAAAAAAAAAACTGATGTAGAACAGCGTAACATTTAAAAATAGAACATATATTTTGTTAACCTAGTACTGGTGCAGTCATTGGTTAGTTTGATGAAAACTTCTGTCAAATTAAATTGAGAAATGTTTATATTTTATTTATATTATAATGTTTATATTTATTTTAACCAGAAAAGTGTCCAAACAAAAATTTTTTACATGAGTTATCTGTTGTACTGGTACATTCTATTTGCTCATATTTTTACACTCTTACTACTTCTAATAATAAGTTTATCAATTTTCCCCATTGAATTAATTAACAAATTATGTGTTTTTGCCAAAATTGTAATGCTTCAAAGGTTTCTTGCCTCTTAGCATCCAATTTTTGACAATTTTCAACTCTTGCAAAAATCTCAAGTGACAAACTGTGTAATATAATTTGCCTTAAAGTAAAAAAACCCTCATCAGTTTATTTATGTCAATAGTAATGATTATGTGAGGTTAAAATAATCATTATTTAATTTGGACATTTTTAAGAAAAGTAAAAAAACAAAAGAGCAATATAAAAAGCAATTCAGAAAATTATCTCAAAATTATAACATTCCAATACACTAACAACAGATTAAGAAAAATTGTTCTATTTTATATATAATGGATTGGAACAAAACTGATTATATAATGCTTTACCATTACATAACCATTATATCAGTTTTGTTAACTTTTATTCTGCAGATCTGACAATAAGATGTACAGTGCAGTACATCTCAAGAAAAATCTAATCTAATAAGCCTACAAGACTCCTTAAGTTAGCATTTTTTGGTTGTTACAGTTTCTGTAAAGAAATGGAGATGAGTCAAAGTCCTTCTGCATATCTTAAATTAAATTTACATAGTTTAATCTAATATAAAATCATTCTAATCAGTATATAAGTTTCATATAATTTCTTTTATCACTTAACTGATATCAAATATATATGGTTGAGCAAAAATCATCTGACAGTTATATTAGTTAGGTTATATAAGATGAATGCATCACAAAGGGAAACAATTTATAATTAAAATAGAAAGTTAAGATTATAATGTTAATGTTCAATAAACTTTTATTCACGAAATTGACATAATTTTCAAAATTTTCAAGATTATTTATTGATGAATAAAGTTAGTTAATTTAACTGTCAGGGTAGTTTTGTCCAATTCTTTGATATATTTGAAAAATTAATTATTAATAAATATAGATTAAACTATTTTAAAAAACAAACGAAAATAACATTGTAAAAACAGTAAAATTATTTCACAAAACAGATAAGTTTATATGATGCTTAAGAAAAAACTGTTTGAAAGTATGTTATTTTATTATTAATTAAAAAATTATTTTTTAATTGATCATTTTCATTACTATTTCTGTGAATTACTTATTAACTTATTATAGAAAATTATAGATTACCTGAGGTAAATCATTCATTCCAACTTTATGTGCAAACATTGCTCTAGTAAGTAAATTTGTTATCTGCAATGCAAGAGCTGCCCGATAGCGATCTTCACTTTGAATAAGATAGCGTACTTCATCATGAATACTTATAGAAAATCTTCCATTTATTCCATACTCTTCTATTAACCATTTCATGCACACAAGCATTAAGTGAAGATAATCAACTGCAGAACTTTGCACAACCCAATTTATACGACTTGTCATGAACTACAAAAATTGAAATTCATTAACATTATTAATATAACTATTTTTAAAACAATAATTATATCTTATAATAAATGAATTCAATTCATATCTAGAATTATCTTAAAATTATTATCGTAGTATTAAAAAATTTTTTAGCATACAGTTTCTTATTAATACACATCATGTTTCTAGCAAACTTTAATATTCATCAAATCAAAAACAATTAGAAATACACATTTCATTTTAAAAAAATATAGATTTATAATATAAAATGATTTTATTATTAAAAACACATACACAGAAACAAAATATAACTAAGTCCAAATTCTGTAATTAAACATACTTATAAATTGCCAAATTATTTTTGGGGTAGTCATGCACATGGGAAGTTTAACACATTAACTGTCACCTGTAATATGATATTTTGCATAATGACACGCCAAATGAGAAAATTTGATATCTAATATTTTATTATAATGTAAATAAAAGGGTCGTTATATAACAATCAGCAGAGCAAAGATAAGAAAAATATATGAACGGCCACCTGCAGTTGTATGGCCTTGAACGGGAGACTATTTCCCCCAGGCTATTTACTTTACAACCCGCTGTAATTAGACCTGGGGCTGTATTCTGGTCACCATCTCTGGTCTCTCGTCTCTCACAATCCGGTTGCTGATTAGCTAATCATTTGGATTAGCCAATCAGCAACTGGCTTGTGAGAGACGAGAGACCAGAGATGGTGACCAGAATATGGCCCTTTTCCCCTACTTAAAACTTTTCACATCTGTGTGTTAAAAGTATTTAAGTATTTTACAATTTGTTTGGACCGTACATGTTGTTTTTTTTCTGTAAATATATATTATTTTGCACTTATATACTTTATATGCGATAAAAAAAAATAATTAAACTAGTTTTCGATATTTTAAACTATTTACTAATAAAAAAAAACACTATCAGATATAAAATAGATTTTTATTAAAAAAAATTATGATCTCTGGCTATTGAACCACTTCATGAGGCCATACAACGCGCCAGTGGTCATAGATAAGGGACGCTCAGGCCATCCGACCGCCGGCGTTAAAACCAACTGCATAGATGTCCACGAGAGGCCACCACTAGCATGCAGAACAATATCTTACGAAGTCAGGATAATTTAACCTTGAGTGAAACTTCATTGTTTATGCGACAGCGGGCGGTCGAACGGCACTGTACGGCCAATGCCAGTACAACTGCCGGCACAGCGGATGGCAGTTAACATGTTAAGGTTTAACTTTCTATTTGAGAAGAATTAAAAATTTAAGTAAAAAAAATAATACTTCTCAAAAGTGAAATTGAAACACCAAAAAGGAATGCACATATCCACATGCACTTTGCAGGACCAGCAGAGGTAAGAGACATATGCAAATGATTAAAAGAACAAATACAGATATGCAACAGATATCTGTTTATTCAGTAAGAAATATGATCCCTCAGGAACAGCTGTATGATGAGGCATATTATCAATGAAGAGATTAATGGTTGCTTGAAATATCCCTTGCCAAGTTGCATCCACTGTAGTTTATATGTCATCTACGGTATGTGGCAGTGGTCCCTGGTGCACCTCACACTGGAAGTCCCACAAGTGTTTGATGGGCGAGAGATCTGGCGAGGCTGCTGGCCAGGGAAGGATGTGAATTCTGTTCAGGCTTGTGAGAGTTTGCTGTGAGATATGCGGTCGAGCATTGTCTTCCTGGAACAATGTTGGATGTAGCCTGCACAAGCAGCAGAACCACAGACTTCACAATTTGTGTGATGTATTGGTCAACTGTCAGAATACCAGAAATGCGCACCAGAGCTATCCACTGATTGAACATCATGCCTCTCCAAACCATGATGCCCAGTGTGGGACTGGTGTTACACTTGGCAAAAAGGGCTGGCATGTAGATACTGCCACACCCATCCACGACTCATTCCTCCACAAACAGAAATAGGATTCATCCATAAACAATACCCAATACCATTCAGTGGTCCAGTTGTGATGATGACAACACCATGCCAGGCATATGCAGCCTTACGTTGAGCAGTTAATGGCACCCCTGTTGCTGGTTGCCATGCTTGCAGCCCAACTTCATGCAATCTGTTGTGAACAGTTTGGTGGACACAAATGCACCCATTGATGTTAACAGGTGGCTTTGATATCATGTGCTATGGCAAACAGGTCCCAATGGACCATTCAGTGAGTCTGCCAGTCTGTGCATTCTATCATGTACTGGCACAATCAATGCCTTCTTTGGTATTTTGCAAAGTTCCTGCATCCATCATGTCACATATTGCTGGATGGTGCTCACATTGTGCCCAACACACATGGCAATTGCATGCATCAACAAACCAAAGCCATGCAGCTCCAGAATACAGTCTCATTCATCAGCTATTTTACCCCTTGCCGTCTGGACCCGAGATAACTTGGGCAAGTTCCATAGCGTACAGAAAACTCGGTCCTTTTGGCCCCCCAAAAATGTTTTTGGGTTTTTGGAATGTTTTTTAAGTTTTCCAAAGTTCTCCAAATTTTTTCAAAAATTTTTTCCCGCGCGAAAAATTTTATCGTGATTTTAATTTACCTTTAATGATGCATGATTAACGCTTAATTGTTTTTTAATGCAATTTTTTTAATCAAATTTAATTAATTGTTCTAAAGTTGTAGTGCACGGATTTTACTTTGGTAAAGTTATTTAAAGCTAGTTCTGATGTCAAAAACGACCTCCAATAGTTTTTAATTTTTTTAATTAATATATTTTATAATAAATACATTTAATTAAATCGGGGGGTCGGAAATTGCAATAAAAATTTTAATTTTTTTAAAATATTTAAAAATATACCTCCAGCTAGTATTCACCCTACTTTAAACCCTTGTCCTCGCAAGACATCTGAGAATGTCCCGGGAAATCCAACACCAGATGTTCTCAAGGTCATCCAGCTGTGTAAACAATGATGCATCAGTGTCAAATTTTGCAGAAAGGCAAGACAATGGAAAATAAAGTTTGAAGCTTTTTCTTCAAAATTAACACATTTCTTTCCTTTTTTTCAGTTTTAAGTATTTTTTATGTTTAATTAAAAATTCCTAGAAAAAATTTGGACAAGTGGTTAACCGGTGATATTCAGCTTGCTGTCATCTCTAAGGCATTTTCTACACTTATTTGGAAGTTCAGCTGCTGCAAACCATCTCTGATAGCATTTACAGCCCAAGCCGACTGGTACCACATATCCTAATATCCTGTTTGCACCGAGCATTTCAATCTAGATTGGCCACATGTAAATTGCAAGACCAGTAGAAGTAACAAAGATATGCAAATTTAATAATTTGCATATGCATTATACTACATTCACACACAATCCACGACTTACTTCGATCTCGATTTACCTACAATCTGGATTGTGACTGTCGCCAGTCGAACATCATGCTGTTCGCACAGGCAGTCCACTTGAGAAGAACCTGGCTATTACACGCAATGATAAAACTGACATAACTACGTGGTTAGCCACAAACATCAACAAGCAAAATGGAAGTTTTGGTTAGAAATAAATACTTTTTCTTGCCATATATCTAATAATAGACAGATGTAATAGTCTCTCTAGTTAGAGTAGATGGCGCGCGTAGGACTGGAGACAGCTTGAAAATCGTGCTCGTAAACTTTTCGGTTTTTATCGGAAAAAAAAGGAATTATAGTGCGGTTTTTTGTGCATAGTTTGATTGTATTAGTCAGTGTGATCCTGTTAATATCATTTTTATATCGGCGGACCCAATTTTTTTTTTTAAATGACCTTTTTAAGTTTTCAAGGATTCGGGACCGATTTACCGGACTTCTAGACCACATAACCGGAATCTGACAGTGTCTGGTGATAACTTACAACCATGCGAGTATAACTTCAAATTTTGAAGGCTATAGACCCTGCGGTTCTCGTGAAATTGAACTTTAAAGATCAAATTTCGGCGGCCCGCATCGGGCCTCCACACGGTCATCAAGTCAAATCCCCGACGGAACTGGTTACCGGGTTTGTTCGTCCTCATACTGCCAAATTTGGTGAACCTACCTTTAACGGTTTTCAAGATTGGACAGTTTTAAAATTTTAACAAGTTAACAGCAGTCAAGGTTAATGACCTATCATCGTATTCGCTCTATAACGGACTTTTTAACGGACTTTTCAACGATCGTGGTGGAATAAGAATTCGTTGTTGACTTTTTCTACTCTTAGTGGACCTGTTCCTGACAGAGGAAACATCTACTGACCTTCAATATTTGATCACCTTGTCTCGCGATATAATTTAAGAAATAATTTAAGATACATTAAGTTATTTTAAAATAGTTATAAGTAGTTTTATCCTATCTCTTTCTCTCTACACTGTTAAGTGAAGCTTAACAGTGCAGAGCCGATGGTACAATAGCTACCTCTATCCAAAACATACCTTCAGATTTGGGAATTAGGTACACACAGGGATATAACTTTATTCATTTTTCTGGTTGTGTAACATCATGGCAAAAGACAAAGGTTATCCAGTGGAAAACTTTTTAGAAGAATCTTCTGAAATTATAGAAGAGACAAGAAAATATATCGATGGCCGATTATCAACAAAAGCACACAGGAAATATATTCTAGAACAGATGAACAGATTAGTACAATTAGCTAAAATAACACTCGCCGAAATACCTAAAAATGAAGCAATTGAAGAAAAACTAAATTCAATGGTGAATAAAAATGATCTTATGAAATTAATAAAAGAACTTGAACTAGGAACCGTAAAAGCTATAGGAGATATGAGAGAGGAAGTGAATAGTGTAAAGCAAACAGTCAGTAACAAATTAAACCTAACAGAAACAAGTGAAACACTCAAACAGGATATCACAGAGTTAATCAAAGAAAATAATGAAAACTTAACAACTACCATTAAAGGTAGACTGGACAGTTTGGAGGAGAAGTTGAACATGAGGCAATCACCCGCACCGCTCTACAGCTCAATTGTCAAAGCAGGAGTAACTAAAACACAT